TAGTGAACATGTTAGTGAGCATGTTGGTCATTAGAGGGTGTAGTGAACATGTTAGTGAACATGTTAGTGAACATGTTGGTCATTAGAAGGTGTAGTGAACATGTTAGTGAGCATGTTAGTGAACATGTTAGTGAGCATGTTGGTCACCTGTGTGTTAGGATGTCCTGGAAGCGGATGAAGGTCTGCGTCAGCGCACTGAGCTCGTACACGGTGGAGTTGATGCTGTACTGACTCGGACCGCGGTCAGAAATGTTCTGACTGTTGGCGACTGCGATAAAGAACCGCCCGTCGATCTGAAACGTCTCCCAATCAGTGGCTCCCACCGTCTGCAGAGGGAGGAGGGTATGAAACAGCTGATCAGTAAAATAATCAGCAGATGAATCAACAATGAAAAAAAAAAACAAGAGGCATAAAAACATTCTGGACATTATTTGTCTCATTCCTGTTCTCACTGCAACAACAACAGTTTCTCTGCTGACATCAAAACTACAAGTCGTCTCAGGGTCCGGCAGGGTTAGTGTCAGTAGTGTCAGTAGTGTCAGTAGTGTCAGTAGTGTCAGTAGTGTCAGGGTCAGGTGAGCGGCAGCATAGGGACATGACATCGAGTACAAACCAGGGTTGAGAATTGTATTCAGTACACAGACGTGAATTTGTGTTAGCACGAGTTGAAGATGTTTTGCGATCCACTGTGTGTGAACGTTAGCGTGAGACCGGACGTCACCGGGTCGTCGGTCACGTTTTCACTCATCAGAGGAAACTATTATCGTTCCAAAGTGTAATGTCTCCTGCAGCCTGTCGGGGGCTCCAGTGAAGGTTGAGCTCCTCGTGCTTCATGTTCGTGTCTGAAGTTAAAGCTTCAGAAGCTTTTCAACATGTTTACTTCTGTCACATTATCCGCCCTGACAGACGAGTCCAAACAGCTGTCTGCAGCTGGAAACCCCCTCACTCACTCACACACACTCACTCACTCACTCACACACACCCTCACACACACACACACACACACACACACACATTAATTACACTCCTTTGGTTTCCCGCATTATAATTGGAGGGTTTTTTGTTTCCTTTTTAATCAGAGCTTTATAAACTGAAAAGATAAAAAACATAAATGTGATTTTATGAATCTTCTTTCATGTGAACGTCTCATTAATGTTTCACGACTTTGCTGCAGGACGTCCTGACTCATTTATTATCTGAGGAGCTGCTGACATGTGTTCAGTGACGCACTGTAAACTAATGTGGTTACAAACTGAAACTAGTTTCTTTCGATACGTCCGAGTCCAGATCGAGTCAGTTTTTAATCATGAACAACAGTTATCAATTAATGTCGGACGAGTCTCAGAGCAAAACACAACAAAGGAGATGAGACCTGATGGACTGAAGCATGAAAATAAAAAGCAGAAAAACAGTTTGTCTGACGAAACTCTGGAGATTCAAACAAATAAAACCACCTGAGATCTGGTGAGATCAGGAGTTGGATGCAGGTTTATTCACATCATGTGATTAAAACATCAAGACCGATCAAAATAAAAGTGAGGTCATAAAAACACACTGACCACCGGTGTGTGCTGCGATCTGTGGTTGGACATCGTCACAGTAACATCTGACTCTGTCATGTCAAAAAAAGATCTCACAACCATGAGATTGGAATTTTATAACAAGAAAATGATTAAGGACAATTTAATTACTGATGAAACCAAAACGTTTCCGTCATAAAATGTTTTGTTTTTGATTCATGAAAAGTTTTATTCTCATCACATGTCCCACACAAGGCCCAGAACCAGATGTTGAGCTGCATTACTGAAACCAGACCTGACGACTACATGACGACAGACACTGACCGGGATGTTCTGGAATGTCTGGAAGTTGCCGTCCAACCACACGTACACCGTGGAGCTGATGGTCGTGCTCTGACCGTCGAAGGTGTTGGCAACCACCAGGAAGTGGTATGGTCCAACGGTGAAGAACTCCCAGTCGTATGCTCCTGATGTGGACAGAGTCTGGTATACCTCAAACAGCTGAAGGGAGGGGGGGGCAAGATAGACGTCAGCAAAGAAGAGGACGGACAATGACAGGAAAGGACAGGAAAGAGATGGAAAGAAGACGAAGAGACACGATGGAGAGGATGGAACAGAGGAGGAGACACGTCCTCTGGTTTGTGAGGATCTGGTTACCTTTGTGTTTGGGTTCCACCTGTAGATCACACTCTGGATGTTGTGGTTCGAGTCTCTAGCTGAAGACACACACAGTTTTTCTTTGATCAGCTGTTCAGGACTCGCCCAAAGGGTCAGAACATTAGATTCTGTTTAAATCGTGAATTTCCATCTCCCTGTCTACCTCGTCTGTGATTGGCCACGACCAGGAAGCTGTGGTTGTGGATTTTAAAGGCCTCCCAGTCCAGAGCGCCGTGAGTCTCCAGAGTCTGATAACGGAGGAAACGCCGCTGCCTCTGATTCCAGCGATAGATGATGGACAGCTCAGGCTCCACCTCCCTGGAGTTCGCCACCACCAGAAAAATCTGAAGGACGACAAACAGGAAGTTTAGAGTCTTCACATCGCCTGCTGCTGCTTTATTAACCAATCAGAGGCCTGAACACAGCGGCAGGAAGACAGTTTCATTTTAAATAGAAAGAAAAGAAACTGAAAGTCTGAGTCAAACAGACTGAAGTTCACATTTTCCAGCAGCTATGAAAACCAGTTCAACACATCGAGGGACTCAGAAACTGATCAAACACTTTAATCAGCTGTTTTCAGACATGAGCTGAAGTCGTCACCTGAGAGATGGAACATGAGTCGCACTCTGAAAACCTGCAGCTCTTTATGTTCTCACCTGAACAAACAGCAGCAGCACAATGAGTTCAAACACGGTTTGTTCTTCAGACCCGTTCATACCGCTCCTCTCTCTGCCAGAGGTCAAAGGATGGTGTGAGAAACCAACCAACCACCTCCACCCATGCATCCATCCTTCTTTACATGCTACCAGTGTTTATTGGGGCTCTAGTGATTATTGAAAATGTTCTAGAGCTTCTTGAGACCTCCACCGATCCACTGAGGGAGTGGGGGGGGGTGAGCTTCTACCACGTGACACAAACATGAAGAAACACAAACAAATGTCTCTGGAGACAAAGTGCTGACACACACGTAGAAGACA